GTCGATTCAATTACAAAATCTGTTGGATTTCCTATCACTGCCAATAGTTTCCCGTGGCGTTGTTTGTGGTCATCACTATTTACAATCTATAAAGGAAAGAATATCTCTTTCGATAGATACACTTGGTGTTCTTTTGGTCGTTTTGATTTAACACCTACATATTCCAATAGATTTCATGGGCGTGTTTTTGTTCGGTTTCTCGCCGTAAAAGATAAGATCTGAGGTGAAGTATGCATAAATAAGGTATACATACAACGTATTACCCAAACAACTTTAGTAGATTAGTCAATCATGGAATTCGAACTGTCGATGTTTATTAGTCGTGAGCTTTAGACAAGAAGAAGAAGACTGATTATCAGACTAAATAGAGTCCGTCAACTTTAAGTTGTCCCTTAGAACTAAAACTTAAGATCATAAGTGCCCATGAGAAATTATACGCAAAAGGTTGTATTTCCATTGTCTAATTTTCTGTAGAAAAAAGCGCTTATATTACAAATTTCTTGTAATCAGCGGTAAGCCCTTCCGACATGCATTTCACATACACCGAAATGGTTTTAGAATCGTACAAGTAAATTTTATATGGACTAGAACGGCGGCTATAAACAACATTGTAAAAATACACAAAAGGAAAAAATTCCAGTAAATATTAAAACTTGTTTTTTGTTTACTTAATTCTATTTTTTTTTCTTTTTTTTTTGTGAAATTTAAAGCTGAACCACATTTCATAAGAGTTATAAGCAAATTGTATTAACGCGATATTAAAAGATCATAACTTGAAAAAAAATTTTTTTTTTTGTATGAACTATGAAATTTGTTAAAAAAAATAAAAACAAATACGCTCATGCATATATATATATATATGTATTCCGATAATATTTACGATTTTTGTTTTAACCCAAAAAAAAAAAAAAAAATGATAAAAAGAAAAAAAAAAAAAGAATGAAATTTAACCACAAAATTTTTTGGTTATACTAAAAGCGAGATTTATCGAAACCATCACACACCTTCACATGCACAAAAACTTTCAAAGCAATGCAGAGCATACGGTGAAGGGTAAAAATCGCAAACAAAATAAAAAAAGAAAAAAAATCACTTTAAAAAACTAATCGTTTTTGTGGATTTTATGCGGTTTTTTGACGTTCGATTTGTGGTGTCTAGCCGAGAGGGTTGTTATGCATATATACGTATTTAAAAAAAAATAATAATAATTTTTTTTTGTTTGTCAAAATTTTAAAATAAAAAGATTTAATTAGATGCATTTGTAGCAATTAATGTTAATGTAAAATGTTTTTTGGAAAGAATATTTTTTTATATACAAAAAAAAAAAAAAAAAAAAAAAAAAACCTGAAGAAGAAATCATTTTATTTCCTTTTACATGCATACAAATAAACTTGAACACTAATACTTACTCTGACAATTGCCGATGGGTGGCATACGAAATCCTGATAAAGGATCCGTTGAAAAATGAAACGGTCGTTGCCCAAAAGCAAAATGAAATTGTTGTTGTTGTCCTAAAATTGATAACACTATGTTTTCAGTGCTTTTTTAATTTTCTGCTCTTAACTAAAAGGATGATATGATTATGTTTGCTTCAAATGAATAGATATTTATGAGAATATATATATATATATATATTATATTTAAGAGTGCGCTTGTGTTTATGTATGTATATATATATATATATATATATATATGCCTGTGTGTGTTTGTATGTGTGTGCAGTATATATAAATGTATATATAGATGCGCGCCGATAACAGTGTATGGATATTATTGCTGAGTTGTATGATTAAACGAAAAAAATGAAAAAAAAGTCTTTCTTAACATTTCGTGGTCAAATATTTGGCTGCAACATCCTGATATATACATATAGAGGTTGCTTTGTAATGGCTTCCTGATTTCTGTTACAATTTTTTTGTGATATATTTTTATGTCTTCAGTTTGCAAACTTTACTCTTTAATCATCGAATAGCATTTCTATGCTTTCTACACTATTTTCATTTTATCTAAACTTTTTATTAAAGCTCCTGTTCGTCTAACAAGTTGCTTATGACAAGCGATAAAGGAACGTTTTAAACGGTTTGTGTACATTCCCGTGCTAATGCAAGCATTAAGATGGTTATTCCGGTCCTATGCTAAAATTTTGCTCATCCTAATCATTCTTGATAATTACTGGCGATACGATGAACTTTAAGACACAATTCAACAACGATTTTCAATCAATACTTAAGAGGCCACATAACATGCGAAAGAATCAAAGTCTTGAAAACGAAGCTCAGTTGGTGGTGTGCTTAAGGAAGATCTCTGTGTTACCAATGCACGCTTTATTTAGTAGAATGCCATTGAACTGCGATTGTGTAAAGTGTAGATGTTAAAATCGTTCTCGATTATCTGGAGTTATTCTTAAACTTTATGCTCTAGTTAGGGTATTTAGCTAAAGATTCAATGACCATTAGAAAAGCCTCTATAAAACCATGCATTAGGTTAACGAAAAAAAAATAAACACTAAATAATAATGAAAAGAATCTCAGAGAACATTACATTAAACAGATTTATTAGTGGGTAACTATTTCACATAATTTGACACCCGGTGATCTTAAATATCGTAAACATTCATAAATACAGGCCCACACACAACAGGAATGCAGACGAAAGGCAGATGAACGGCTAGAACGGACGTACTTGTACAGACGCGGACACTACAGCTTACTGTTGCACCCGAGTTGCGACAAAGTGGAGGAGGACGCTTAGCAGGCAATATTTCGCTGTAAAAGGTTCGTGCGAGGACAGCCCTAAAGCAGTCCGGGAAGTATACTAAATGATGTGATTGGCATCGGGGATATTTGGAGGGTTGTAGATGGGTTCGTTTCAAGGATGCTCCTTGAAAAGCGACATTTAGAAAAGCTGCGAATGGAGACAGGAAGTAGTGGAATTCAGGAGAAGAATTCACTAAGGGCATTAATGATGAAATCATTAATCTTTAGAATTTCTTTCTTTTCTAGCTAGCGTTGTTGTTTTACTCACGATTGCCAAGTCGATGTTCGCAAGTTCGAATCTAGACCTATGTTCGCTTGCTAGTAATTTAAGTGTAAAATCGTTCTGAATTTTGCCGTTGCATCTGGGCGATCTTCTGATCGATGTCTTTCTCTAAAATTTCACAAGTCCAGGCCTGAGCCTAAGAGGATCAGCTCGTGTGTTGCTACTTACTTTTATTGTTCTATACAAGAGAATAGTTTTACAGTTTCTTGGCCAAGAAATAAATACGAAAGAGCATAACAGCCACAGTTCATTCAATTTCAAAATGTTATTTTTTCGATAGATAAGCTTACAGTTCCGAGCTGAAAGTTTCATTAATGAAATTTTCGTTTCAAGTTGAAAAAGAGGCAAAATCGCATTAAAGAGTACGTGGACTATTAGTAAAACATGCCCATAAATATAATACTATGACCAAAAAGTAGGAACGATATTTAAATTAGATTGCACGATTATATCAAACATAGGAAACATATTTTTTTCCAAGTTAACCGCACCGCGACAGATATCTGTGTAAATTTTGCAGCTGTTCTTGGTCTTTCATAATACAGAAGATAGTTTATTCGATTTTCATAATATGAGCGCGGAGATGATTTCTGACTATCAATCGGTCATGAAACGCATTATTACAAGAGAGATAAAATATGGATCTACGCACCCGACCCCGAAACAATCGAACCAATATCGTGCAACATGCGGGCCAAGATCGAAAAAACCGCGCTAAAGTCGCTCGAAAATCAAGGAGACAGCGACAAGTCTAATAGTTTTCTTTGATTATCGTAGAGTTGTGCACGATGACGTCGAGCCAAGCTATTAATAAGTGATATTATTTGAGTTTGATTTTAATTACTTTGAAGACGACGAAATAGATTTTCAATAATAATAATAAGATTGAAAAAAGAGAAGAAGAAAATTAAATTGGTTGCACACATTGTTGGAAACAGTATATAAGTCAGTTCATACTATTGGGTGATTCGGAAAGAAATTTCACTTTTTCAAGTCAAAACAAAAATCGATTTCATTGCAGTGATCTTTCGACTTGTCATTCGGCGATTTGTTTCAATTAATGCCGTTATTTTGCCTTTAACAAGTCGTACTGACCTTTCACAATGTAATGCAAAACCGCCAGGGTTGATACTGATGTTCTATCCATTCACTGCTTTCATATGCATTCAATAAAATTTCTTCTTGGTTGAGGTTAATTTTTCCCTTTATGCGAGTAAAAGAAGCAATAAACACCGAAAATCCTACTTTTAATTTTCCATACTTGGTAAGGCATCAAACTAAAACTTTTACGGGGAGTCAGATGTTACGACTTCAGTTATCAAACATATGAAGACAGCCTTAAGTGTCGATTTGACTGTCAAAAAATTGCAATTAAATCCACTGTTGGGAATAGCCTGCACGCAGGCTAGTATTGAAAATGCGCAGACTCGGTCGAAGGACACGCCTACGGTACGATATAAACTCTCTTTTTAAAAAGGAATACCGAAATCGCCTTTATGTTCATTATCATCATAAATTATAGCATATTCCATAGGCGATGTTGTAGGATCTGTACAAAAATTTCAAAAAATTGACCACGCCTACCCAATATTATGGTGTATTAAAGCTTGATTTTTTTTCGCTATACCTCTATAAGGTGCAGAAATAAGCCTCAAAAACCCCAATAAACCATAAAAATCCGTCCGTCCATCTGTCTGCCTGCGCAACTCAGTAGTATTCTATTGAATATATCACCAATAAATCTGCCGATGTATTTGCAAGTAGCACATATTTCTCCAAGGACACGCCTACAACGCCCACACGCCTATGCGACGAAAACTTTAATATCGAAAATAGAAAAAGTTGGCCGCGCCCACTCCATGTTACAGAGCATGAAAATTTATTTCTTTTACTTATTTTGTCTCTTCTAGGGTAAGGATGATGGGTGTAAAAGATTCGGTCACGATTGAATATATGTACATGTACATTCTTAATTGTTTCTTTTGTTTGTTCGTTTTGCGATATTATATTCAATTTTCATAAACTTGTTGACAATCAAGTGCAATGTTTTGTTGAAAACTTGAAAATATCGATCGCTGAGCTTGGCATTGCACTAAACATTTTGAAAACTTAGTTTGTAAGAAGAACGTATACATATTTAATCCGCATCTTAAACCGCATCCAAATGTTTCTAAATGTTTCACTGACTGCGTGCACTAAACTACAATAAAAATGTGTCCTTTTTACACTCACTTAAATGCTTCATTAAAATATAATAACCCTTTGTCTGACAATGTAAACTTTTCTCATTTTTTTTTTTGTTATTTTTTTTTTTCTATGTTTCGCAAAAGAAAGGCACAACAAATAACTACTACTACTACTGCTACTACTACTACTACTACTACTGCTACTACAACTACTACTACTACTATTATTGCTGCTACTAGTACTAGCGCTACTACAACTAATGCTGCGGCTGCTGCTGCTGCTGCTGCTGCCGCTACTGTGAAAGAAAACTTTTAAATGAAAGCGAGCGTATGGAAAATTGTAATGAAATGAGAAAACAGAAGAAGATGAGAAATTAAATATAAAGTAGATATATATGTTTGTTTGTGTGTGTGTATGTGCGTATGCATATACACGTATATACAAATGTTATAAATCATTTTGTGGATTGTGTGAAAGTAAAGAATGGAAAGTTGAGTTAAATGAAAATCCTGTTACATTTTGTTGTTTTATTTATATGCATGCTAAAGAAAGGATTGGAGACTGACAAACGCACACATACACACATATATATATATATATACATACATATATACATACATCACACACACACACACACACACACACACACACACAAACACGCACGCATGCACGCACGCACGCATATACGGATACTTAGCAAAGCAAGCAAACACGGAGACAGATAGATAAACGCATACACGTATACACGTACAGAGAGAGAGAGAGAGAGAGAGAGAGAGAGAGTATTTAACATATGCAAAGTAAAATATTTGCATGCTTATAAATATTTAGTAAAAATGGACTTTTGTTATCCTTCTGCATCTGTATACATGAATGTATATCGAAATAGATGTGTGCGTTTGTGTGCTTACGAAATAACAGTTTAACTCTCCGTTCGTCTGTTCACGTTTTTAACTGAAAGCCATTTTGGTTTTAATGAATATTCTTAAAAGATGAATTGTTTTGTAAAACAGCATACGGAACGCATATAACAAACAGTAAAAGTAACTCAAAGCCTGAACACTGAGAAACGGTGTCGAAATATTTTGTTATCTTGTGCAACTAATGAATTGTGTGTGATTGTTGTCACTGCATACAGAAACTCTTCCATTGTGGATGATAATATTGTAAGCACTTTCGCTTTGTGTAAATTAAATCTTATTGTGGAATAATGAAAAGCACACGTTTCTATGAAATTTATGGGTTTGTTAGTGTTATAGATTTTTCAGAGGTGTATGTATGTATGTACGTCTGTTTTATATATTGTGTGTAAGTGTTTTTTTTTTATTAATGAAAAACAAAAAAAAAATAAATAAAAAAGAAGAACAAGAGAAGAGAAGTGCAAAAAAAAAAATAAAAGAAGAAGAACAAAACCAAAGCAAAAATCTTTTCGTTTTTTTGTTTTTTTTTTTGTTTTTCTCTTTTTCGTAGAATACTTACTAGTCTTGGAGCGTGGCTCACGGGGACCATCGACCGTTACTTTAATGGCCTTATTGTAGGTGGCTATGTGAGGCGGATTGGTTGATACGGTGATTGTCAATGTAAAACTTTTCCCTAAAAATATAGAAAACAAAAAACGTTTAGTTAAGAGTTTTACGTCGTCTCATTTTGAAAAGTTAAGGCCAGAGTTTCAAATAAAACCCATATACATATATAATTTGCATAATAGGTTAGTGCAGCATCGTAGTATGACGATGACAAGCAGCTATTAATTCCGCAAACAAAAACCGACAAATCAATTTGTTTTCATGTTTGTCTGTTTATTTAACGATTTGTCAAGAAATTTCACTTAAGGCCTACTATTCATATCACCAATAAAAGCTTACGCGCATTCACAAGCATAAATATACCAATATACCAATATACCAATATACTAATATACCATATATAGCGTATGTATCATTATTGCCTATAGGCATAACATTTTAAGATTACGGGTTTTTGACAAATGCTTCCTGCAGATCCCTTAATACGAAATCCCTTTTTCATACATTTCCATCCGCAAACCCCTGCATATGTGTAGCTATGGTGCACTTGTAAACACAGCCAAATAGCACATATACACATCTTATTGTGATGACGTGGATGAGTGGGCGGATAGAAATTGTCATAAATCAATGTATATATATGCGTAGCATTTATTGTAGATATGCATGCTTGGGCAGGCAGAGGTGTGAACATGAATTGTTTGCATATATGTATAAAAGCCAGTTATTAATAAAATCACTGCCTCCGCCGTATACACAGTATTTATTGAAAGTGATTTCATTTGTATGTATATATTTATGTCTCCCCTCAACCTTTGTTCTTTCTTTCTTTTTTTTTTTTTATCGGTTTCTTAGCTCTAAGATTAAACGGGCTTTCGTAGGCTTACAACCACAAATCCCTTAGTTTTCAAAGCGACTTCACCTAAAGATAGTAGTCTTTGAGTAATCAAATTTCATTCGTTGCTCAGTTTCATGCGATGAATACGGCAAAGCTTATCAATGCTTATGACTTTCGATTCATTTCACTCCATATTGATTGATTTTCTAACTCATTGAACTTCATTGAAAACTGAGACTAAACGGTAACCATCCATCGAACATATTAAGCAATCTCTTGCCATTGGCAATGGTAAGCAGGTTTCTCCCTACTTTTTTCATTTTTCTCAATGATCGATTGGTCAGCTTTAGTTTATACATAAAATTTGTAATGTGTGACGATAGCGGTGCTGTTGTTTGGAAATTTCAAAATCATCGGCAAACTTTTTTATCAATATCGATTTGGATTTGGAAATCTTAAGCGAAACTGCATTCACTTTTTGCTGAGTTTCTTTAAAATACATCACTCAATAAGTCCTCTGTATGACACATATATGGCAACAGCCTTGCCACACTCATATAATTTCTGGATAGTACCAATCTTCATTTCATGATATTCCGACTATGGGTTTACAATTGATTGCAAATGGTCTAGTCACGCTACTCTTGTGGCCGTTTTGGACGACTTTCGCCAGTTCCTGTTCGGGTGTACTATGATATCTTCTGATTACGTATATTTATGTATATATATATATATTTTTTTTTCTATTATATATACTTCAGTAGCCGCTGAGGGGATGCCTTTTCACCAAGTGAATATGGTGATAGTTAGGACACATTAGAAAGAAGCGATTGTTAATGTTAGAAGTCCACAAAAAGAACACCCTACGTTTTCATACACTCTGTTCTATTGTTGATAAACGAAAGTAGCTTAAGATTTCCAATCAAGAAGCGAAAATGTGAAAATATAAAATTCACCTGGAAAATATTTAATCGAAAATGATTCCAATGAGTTCAATTGCTAAGTACATATCAATATATGATATACGTAAGTTTGTTGAAAAAGTTCCGATCTGAACATGAAACTGACAGTACTTGTACTTGAAAGTTGATGAATACGCTCGTAAATGAGTTAGTAAAAATACTTAGCGAATTTTCAGTTATTTTGGGTACGCAGTTTGACAATCATTTGAGAAACATTTAAGTGTGTGGGTGATTTTGTGGAAATGCATAAATTGAACGTTTGTTTTCGAAGAGCCGAACGCCTATACAAATTAAGAACGTGTTGAATGCTTTGCACGGGGAAGAGAGCTGAACTAAATTGTCTCAAGACAAGTTCGGCGATGACGATGAACATTTGGAACGACCACAGGCTATAATCACTTACGACAACATCAGTCAAGTTCACCAAATTATGCTAAGGTATTGTCGAATTAAAGTTAAAGAAATAGCACAAGTTATGAATGTGTCCCGTCATATATTAACCGTGCAGAAGGACGCAAAGTTAATTCTTATTGGACCTAAGACATATTCAAATGCAAAAGTTCAAAGATCTTCTGGAGCAGACGAAACCCGAGCGCTCCAACACAATTGCGAAACACAAATACGCTCAGAGCAATTGACTGTGAAGCAAGAGTCCTGCTCAGAAAAGATTATTTCAAAGGCTTAGAGGCTTACATCACAGAAAGCTGAGATTGCTAACAAGTTCACTATACGTTGTTATCTTATAAAACATAATTAGTTCCGTAGCTCTCTTTGCATTCTTCTCCAGAATATTTAAAATAGAATAATATGCAGTACGGTAAAGATCATTCAACTCTCTAGACAACGATATACAGGGAACGTCGGTTTGTAAGCGAATAAATCTGATATCGCACGAGGACCAACGTCTGAGCTTTGTTAACCCGAAACAACCGGTCAGTTGGACGCGTTCAAGCGCGTTTTTGTGTGCACTTCTCTCGTTCAACTGCTTAAATATTCTTATTACTAAATTTCAAGAGTAAAATAAATTTCATCATGTAACGTATATTAGAATACAACATGTTATGATTCTGCGATCCGCATCCACAAATGTTTCCTCACAGATAGTTACACAACCTGACATGATCAAACGACAACATCTAGAGCAATTCGAGGGTGTTCACTTTTTACAGTTAATTCGAAAAAGGAAAACTCGCTAATTTTAGTTGAATACAAAGACTTTTTTTTCCGTGACTTTTCTTGCATCGCCCTAATTTCGGTAGGGTAATGCGGTAATCAGGTACACTTGAAGCCGAGTTTGTTGCTCTGAATTATGTTGCCAAGGCGTAATCGTCATTGCAAAGCAAGCACCAATGACGTGTGCAGACGTCGCCTACCGAAAGACTGGACAATAAATTTTGCTTTTAGAAAACGAAAAATGGTTTCTCGTAAAATATACACCGAAACGGAAAAATGTAATGCAACACTCGATTACGCGATTGCAGTGTTATTGCATATTAAAAAAATATCTGTTAAGAACCTTTCAAACTTACATAAGTAGGTATATAGAATGTAAGATTTATTCGTATCAGGGATCGAACCACGGATGTGCTTACATATTTGCTGGATATCGCAAAGACTAAACCATACGGTAACCAATTAGGCGAATAGCGAATTGTTACTCTCCCTATGATTGAAAGCTGACTTCAAAAGGTTTCCGTTATGGCACAAACATGATCGAATATAATTGAGGTAAAATATTAAAAAAAAAAAAGTTGAAGAAACGCCATGAAATTTTGTGATTTGTGTGTGTGTGAAGAACAACAATAATTATAATTTTGAGATAATAAATTAATTAAATTTGGTGAAAAGGGTTTTTTTTTAAATGCAAGAGCTTTAAAATCTTTATGAAACCACAAGTCTTCTTAAAGTAGTCCACAGAAAATATTATGCAATTACGAATTAATTATGCTCTAATTGATTTTTATGTATATGTGGTATCTTTGTGTGCACACATTCATCCCGACTTGAATTGACTTGAATTGATTTAATATTGTTTCTTCAATTTATTTAAGCATGTCTGTCCGTCGTGATATCCATTCCGCATGCTGCAGCGCATGTTCATTATATTCATTAATTAAGCTCTGCCCATTTTCCATTAGTTACATAGTTACATATGCGTAGCTTTACATGGTCTTAGCAATGAGACAACTCGTGATCTGATTGCTTACCAATAAATTGAGACTACGGTTCTACCAATTTTTTAACACTATAGGAATAATACTTCATCCCATACGATATGCGTGTCATTCACTGTAAACAATATCCGCAATGCTATTTAGTATCAGTATAATATAGACTATGTTGCGCTGATGTGTAATATTGCGCCAACAAAAAATTAATGTTTAATGGAACTACGCAGCTTACCGCGCGTTCTCACTCAATCATCCTGAAACGAATCCAATAAATCTCGATGGGATATACTAAGCTTGTGCAGCTCAGAATGATTTGTGATAGACCCATGTAAACTTGTCTGTCCGTCTGTCAATCTTGTATTCTTGGTGGCAAATTAAAAAAAAAAATGTAATGAGGCGTTAAAGTGTCTTTGCATAAAGATGAATGCTCTTACAAAAAACGATTCGTATCGGACCACATTTCCCATCATTTCTTATAAAACAAATAAGTGAAGTGCTTTCGCGTATTTAAACATAGGCCGGAGCCTGTTGGCCGTTTTCTTACTTTTTACTTCTAACTTTCGTATTTAATCGTTTTGATGTGCTTAAGACTTCAGTATCACACACGAATCGAGAAGATACGGGTTTTATAAGGTCTTCGTTGCGTATGATAGATTTTTAGAGTATAATAAATCTCGTATGCTTTCCTTCGCTATCAGTGAGCTGTAATTACATAATTGTCAATGAATTGAAAGCTGCAGCAGCTTCAGATCTCAAACCTTGACCCTGAAGATCTTGACATGGAACTAATTTCGATCTATTAACATAATTAACATATCCCTAATACGCGAAGAGTTTAAATCCTTAAGAGTATATGAGCCATGAGTTTGAACTTGAATTTGAGTGAGAGAATGATTTCAGCATATTTTCGGAAATGAAATACTATTCTTATGCATAATTACTCTTATCTTTCGCTTTAATATTTGATTATTGATAATAGCATTTCTTTAATACAATAACAAAATTTTACGAAAATTTCTTTTTATAAGGAATTCAAAAAAAAAATAAAATTAAAAAATAAAAAGAGGAATTTCAGATAAATGAATAAAAAGTAAAT